CTCTCGATCTCTTCGTAGAAAGTAATCCTGGCGACTAGGCGCCGTGTTGAATCGTAGGACAGCGAACAATGCGCTAATTATTAACTCTCTCGACTCCACGGGGAGCTTGCTTATCTTTCCCATGGGTCGTCTTTGGCCCACGGAAAAGCATACTTGGCGTGTGACGCCTAGCGGAGGTGCCCGGTACTAGACGCGTGAGGCGTATATAGCCGCCTGAGCGTCTTTTGGCTTACGGGTAAGCTAGCTTGGCGCGTACTATCGGCGCGGCCGCTTGCCAGATTACGCGTTTGTGCGATTGACTTTTCATCGCCACAGGACCCCCTTCGCTGTATTATGGTTTACGGGATTTGAAAACAAACTGGCGAGCGTGAGGTTCGTCCGCTCCGCGCCCTCTGTTCTTTTTCAGATTGTTCATGTCGTGTTGCTTCTTGTTTTTCATCTCTGTCGCTTTCTTGCAGAGTATATGCTGGTTTTACTCTGTCTATTGAGACGTTGATGTCTTTACCACTTTTGCGCAAGGTAATTACTTTTTCTCTTCTCTTAATTATTTCGAAGGGTCCTTCATACGGCGGCTGCAGGGCTTCTCCCATTAGTTCTCTACGTAGGAAGGCGTGGGATGCTGTTTCCATGTTTTGGAAAATAAAGGGTGTTGCCTGTCCGTATTTTTTTATTTTTTGTGGTCTTAAGTCTTGTAGATTTTTCTTGAGCTGCCTCAGCATGTCTTCGGCTTTATCTGCTATGTCTTGTTCATTGCTTTGCTGCAGAAATTACCCGGGTAGCCTGATTGGCTCTCCGTATATCATTTCGGCTGCTGTTGCTTGTAGATCTTCTTTCCAAGCAGCACGAATGCCCATTAGTACTACGGGTAGAATCTCGACCCATTTCTCCGTTTGATGACACTTAATGGAAGTTTTTAGTTGACGGTGGAATCGTTCGACCATGTCGTTGGCCGCTAGATGGTATGCTGTTGTCTTATAATGCTTTGTCCCCGTGAGTTGTGTTAGCCGTCTGAACAGGTCGGCTTCGAACTGTCGCCCCTGATCCGTGGTTACGTGCTTTGGGACTCCGAATCTTGCCATCCAATTGGCGAAGATGTTGCTTGCTATGCCGTTATATCCGGGACCGGTATTGCTTCCGGCCATCTTGAAAAACGATCTATTAACGTCAGGCAGTATCTGTATCCTTTTGACATTGGCATTGGCCCTACAGTCAGCGTTCGGAAAGTCCCTATTTGTGCCTTGTTATGCCTTGTTATTTTCGCTTGTTGGCATTGCAGGCACGCTTGTGCCCACTTCCGGCAATCTCTTTGTATCCCGGGCCATATGTAACGCTGCGTAATTAGCTTTCCTGTAGTTTTTACTCCAGGGTGTGATAAACCATGCAACGACTGAAACACTCTCTTACGATATGGTTGTGTCACGAAGGGTCGTGGGGTCTGTGCGTCTATGTCGCAATAGAGAGTAACCTTCGTCCCTGGGATCGGTACTTCTTTTAATTTCAATGCTGTCTCCGATTGCAGGACTTGCTGCAGTTCCTCGTCACTCTTCTGTGATTCTGCTAACTTTTCGAAGTTAATTGTTTCCTGAATGCCTTCCACCCTTGATAGCGCATTCGCCACCACATTTTCTTTTCCTGAGATATGTTGGACGTCCGTTGTGAATTGTGCTATAAATTCTAGGTGCCGCGACTGTCGTGGAGAGCTTCGTAGTGGGTCCTGTTCGAAGGCGTATGGCTAACAGCTCCCTGTCGTAGGGGCTGTATTTTCTTTGTGTGGGGCTCAATTTTTTGCTCATAAATGCTAGCGGTTGCCAGTCTTCCCCTCTTTTTTGTTGAACTACTGCGCCGATAGCACTATCCGAGGCGTCCGTCGTAACGGCTAGCTTGCTCCGTGGGTCGGGGTGTGCTAGTAAGGTGGCCCGTGAGAGGCTACTTTTGGTTCTCTCGAAGGCTTCATCCAGCTCCATTGTCCACTGGATCGGCGACTTCCCTTTCTTCTTTGGGCCCGCTAGTGTGTCGTTCAACATGGCTTGGTCCATGGCTGCTCCGAGGATGAATCTTCTATAAAAATTCAACATCCCCAAGAACTGGCGCATCTGCTTTACCGTTGTTGGTTTCGGGAATTCTCGTATTGCCTGGACTTTCTCTGGTAAGGACTTCGTTCCTTCTTTCGTTACTACATATCCCAGAAACTTGGCCTGTTCTTCTCCGAAGATACATTTCGCCGAGTTTATTCTTAACCCATAGTCGTTTAGTCGTCGGAACAGCTTTCGTAGGTGTTCTTCGTGTTCTTCCCTTGACTTGGATGCCACCAGGATATTGTCAATGTAGGCGTAGCAAAAATCTAGGCCATACAATACTTCGTTGATAAAATGCTGAAATGTCTGTGCTGCGTTTCGTAGTCCGAATGGCATATACCTATATTCAAACAATCCGAACGGTGTTGTAATAGCTGTTTTTGGGATGTCTTCTGGGTGAATCGGGATTTGGTTGTACGCTCTCACCAAATCTATCGTTGAGAATACCTTCCTCCTTTCCAGGTTTTGCGTGAAATCCTCTATATGCGGAATCGGATACCGGTCTGGTACGGTTCGTGCATTTAGCTTGCGGTAATCCCCGCATGGGCGCCAAGAATTCTCCTTCTTAGGCGCCATGTGTAGGGGCGCGACCCATGGACTCTTTGATGGCTGGATCACTCCTTCCTGTTGCAAAAGTTCGAACTCGGCTCTCGCTGCCTTTAGTTTGTCAGGAGCGAGTCGGCGGGGGCGACATCCTTCAGGTGGTCCGGGCATTGTCTGAATATGACGCCTTGTGAAATGGGATACCTCTTTCCTAGCTCCTAGTGGTTTTAATATTTCAGGGAATTCGGTAAGGAGCTCATGGTAGTTCGTATGGCTCGCGACTGCCTTGATGCCTTCCCCTTTCGTAGTATTTCGAGACTATTCTGTAGATAACCCGGTTTTTCCGTCGATCAACCGTCCCTCTCGTAGGTCTGGGATCAGGTGGAAATAAGATAGGAATTCGGCGCCGATTATCGGTTGGGTTACTTCAGCTATTGTAAATCTCCACAGGAACTTTCTTCTTAAATCGAAGTCTGGTTCCAGCGTTATTTGTCCGTAAGTGCGAATTACGGATCCGTTTGCCGCATAAAATTGGTATGTATCTGCCCATTGTAAGCTTTTGACCATGCTTCGAGGATATACACAAACGTCGGATCCGGTATCTATTAGGTACGGGGTTTTAGTTTTTTTGTCGGTCATTATGAGGCGGCGGGGTCTTGGGTCGGGGTCGCTGGCCGCCATCAACGACTGCCCTCCGTGTTTTCCTTCTTGTAAGTGCATGGTTGACGGCATTTCTTCGCTTCCTCCCCGAACCGTTGGTGGTAGAAGCATTGTCCGTCGTCTCTGTTTGCCTCTCTTCATTTATGTATTCGACTCGCGGACCTATCTCTAGCAGCTTGATTCCTAGCTCGGCTTCTTGAGCGACTATGTCGTTCTCGGATTTGGGTGGTCAACCTCTCGACCTGCTGTGTCAATGCTTTAATTTGTTCTTCCATCGTCGGTTGTGCCGCCGTGGCGGCCGCGATAATCATACTAGTTACTTCCGTGATCCTATCGGCTTGTTCCGCGACATCCTCTAACCGATCTTCCGTCCGGGTTGCGAGGATAACTTGCGCCTATTGTGGTAATCGACCTAACCACAAGGTACGTAGGAGTTGCTCAGGGACGTTATTGTTGGCGAGGGTCTGTAAATGCCGCAAGAATTGTGAAGGTTTTCTATCGCCGAGCTTTTCGTGCTCTAGTAGCTGACAGATACGTTGTTCCTGCGTGGCTGTCAGCCGCTGTGTTAGGGCTTTTTTAACGGCATCATATTTTCCTTGAGCCGAGGGCTGCGTAACGATGTCTCGGATCTCGCAAGCGTATCTGGTTTCTAGGTGAGTCAGTACGTAAAAATATTTAGTTGCGTCTTGTGTTATACCTCCGAGAGTAAATTGGCTCTCTAATTGTGCGAACCATAACTCGGGTTCGTCAGGCCAGAATGGGGGCGCTTTAACCACTAAGCGAGCGATCTGTTCCTGTCCTTCCATGATCACATCGGGGTCACTACTTTGTAGTTTATTACTACTATTGTATCGTTCGCTTAGAGGCAGAAATGTGCAGGGAATCGCTTAGGTTTTCGGCAGTAAATACTATAGTTTTATGGTACAAATCATGTTGGCTAAATTTCTTTTAAAATTCTACATTCGAGAAAAGTAGTCGATTGGAACGTAACGACGTTGGCCTCCTCGCTTCCTTGTCTGCGTTGATTGAGCCCGATATGAGACCACGCGCTCGTTGGTCTGAGTCCCCTGGGTGCACGCGGCCGGTAACTCCTCCATCTGAGATTCCACGGAGCGAGATTTGGGAGCGTCCCAGATCAGCATCCACCACGGTATCTGCCCTTCAGGCGAAGGCTCCCTAGGTTGTTGTGTCCTTGGTCGCCCGCGACTCTCGTCGGAGGACGAGAGGATTATAGGCCAGGTCGGATGCAACTCTAACGCTGCCTCAGTGGCAGGCACAGGCTTCCGTCCGAGCGCCTCCTTGTTCCGTGGCCTCGTTATTTCCGTGTCTCTGGCTATTCGGGGGTGCTTGGTGTGAGCACGCCCGGTGCTGGAGCTGCGTCGTTTTACCTTGAGCCAAGGCAGATGGGGGCCGGAGATGACACGTACGACTCTCGGTTTGGACGACGGTGCGGCGGCGCCCGTACTATCGGCGCGGCCGCTTGCCAGATTACGCGTTTGTGCGATTGACTTTTCATCGCCACACTGGCTATTCATGTTGCAAAAAATGTGTGATACGAGGACAGTATATACAAAATCGAGTTGTACTTAAAGATATATCTGCACCGAAAAGAACAAATGTTTCTTTTGTTAACCAACAAGATGAGGATCACCATATCGGAATCTCTCCTTTAGTTAAATTAGGAATCGGAATGGTCATTGTTTTTCCAATTGATTATATGCATGCTTATTGCTTAGGAGTAATGCGAAAATTATTAAATTTTTGGATAAGTGGTGCGTTGGCAACGCGATTATCTGGTCGTAAGGTGAATATTTTATCAGAGCACTTAGAATCCTTAAAGTCATATATACCGTTAGAATTTAATAGAAAACCCAAAACACTTCATGAGCTTCCAAGGTGAAAAGCGACAGAGTTCCGTACGTTTTTATTATATTTAGGATCTCTTGTACTAAAAAATATAGTCGATACAGCCGTTTATGAGAATTATTTACTTTTTGATACTGCGATATCAATTTTAATATCTGCAAAATTTATATCAAAATTTAGTTGTGCATTTCCACAAGAACTGTTGAATATGTTTGTTAAACATTGTGAACAATTATACGGCCAAGAATTCTTAATCTATAATGTACACATATTATGTCATTTAGCTGATGATGTGCAGATTTATGGGCCATTAGATTTATTTTCATGTTTTCCGTTCGAGAATTATCTTGGCCAGATTAAAAATTTAATAAAACCTCCTAATTACACTTTGCAACAAATTGGTCGTAGATTAGACGAAATGAATGCAGCATTAGAGAATAATTTACCTATCATAAAAAAACAGTTTATTCATGCTGTAGAAGATAATTTGAGTCCATTATCTGAAAAATTTAGAAGCGTTTTCTGTAAGCAATTTAAAAAATTTAAACATGGAGATTTTACTATTACCACACATTTTTATTCAAGTGCAAATTCGTATTGTTTAATGAAAAATAATATGCTCATTCAAATGCAAAATGTTATAAGTCTACAAGAAATATTTGTTGTTGGAAAATACTTCACATCTTACGATTCTCTGTATAAGTATCCCCTAGATTCAAAAGAATTAAATATTTATGTTGTAAAAAATTTAACACATGAATCTGATATATGGCCTTTTCATGATATACTTGCAAAGTGAATTGTTTCCTTTTGATAATTGTTGGGTTTCTTTTCCTATTATTCATACATATTAAGAAAATATGGTAAAAATATTACAGCAAAACGTTAAAATAAAAGAAGAATAACATTTTGAATAAAATATTAACTTTTATTTTTAAAAAAATTTTATTTTAAAGAAACATGTATATTGTTAAAAACTAAGATAAGTGAGCTTAAAATTATGTTTTCATTAATTATGTAAAAATTAAAATATCTCGTAAAATATTTAGTTTTCGATAATCTTACCGTAATACTTTTATGTACAGAATAATGAGACAAATCAATTAGTATTGTTTAAAACAATTATTTGTTTTTTTCTTTACACTAATTGATTTGTCTCATTATTCTGTACATAAAAGTATTACGGTAAGATTATCGAAAACTAAATATTTTACGAGATATTTTATTTTTTATATCAAAATATGTCAGATTAAGATATAAAATAACTC